TAAAAAAAAAAAAAAAAAAAAAGAGGGTTCCCCCCCTTCCTAGTTTAGTAAAATTAAAGTAATTTATGTCATATTGATATGTCGATATGTTTTTCAATAAACTTTTTCACAGTTTTTTTTAAATTCTCTTTAGTTTAAAAATTATAATTATATGTCTTCCTCCCACTTTGAAAATGGCGCAAGGTGTTCATTTGCAGAGTTCTGCTGTTCAAATCTACTCTGAGAATAGAAATGTCATGACTCAGTTAACAATGCTTTATTATTCACATTCATCTTTTTTTATAGTGTTCTTTATCTCAAAAACATTGTAAATCAGATATCTTCCTCCCACTCTTTTGTTCACTTGCAAATTTTTATTATTCTAGTTTAAGAAAGCAATGGAGTGTCAAGAGTCAGTGTATATTGTTTGTGTTCTTTTTTTGCTTAAAATTACTTTTAGCTATAAAAAATAAGGATGTAAAATAGAAAAAACAGCCAAATTTAAAGAGGCTTAGGAACAAGTGTGTGTTTAATTGGGTTTTTTTTTTTTCCTAACAGAAGATCATTTCAGTTGTAATGGACTTCAGAAGGTGGAGCAAACGTTTTATAAACTTTGTTTGTATTTGCTAATCCGACAAAAGCCTTTCATGGTTTCTGTCTTACCCCCTTCAACTCGGGGCTGCAACTTCTCAAAATAAAAATCTGGATAACATTTTCAAATGCGTTTGCACTGTGAGCTCCTGTAAATGTATGCATGTGTCTATTCAGAAGCCTGTAGTTTCCATTCCTTTGCACCCACAGGCAATGCCAGATTTTCAAAAGCCCTCTGCTCCTACGTCTGCACCGAAAGAAGTGGTCAGTTATCGTAAGAATACTGCACATCTGGTGCAGACCCCCTGCGGAGATGTGGCCTGTGTTCGGCAATTGCTTATGCAATCAATGAAACAGCTTGTGCAGACAATGATCTAAATTTGTATGCATTTTTTTTTTTTTTGTGGGAAAGAGTACAGATGGGGTAACCACATCATTTGATTTCGAAATGATGCTACCATATGTAGTTTAGAGTGGAGTTAAGCCTGGACCACAAATTTTTGTTTCTGGATCAGAACTTATGTACCATGGGGAGGGTCTGGCTTGGGGTTATGTTTCGGGCCCATCTCTATTTCCTATTAGCTTTTCCTTTTGGTTCACTTTTTTTTTTTTAGATTGCAGCTGTTGTGATGTTGGGTTGCAGTTGTTGTGGTGTCTGTGTGTGAAGGTTTTAGAAGCAGTTGAGCTTTTTGGGGCAGGGGCTGTCTTGGTTTTGTGTTGGCACAGTACCTAGCCCAGAGGCAGCCCAGTGACTGGGATTTTGAGCTAGGACCACAGTACACAGTAATTATAATGAACACATTGCTTGGCCTTTCAGGTGGTCTCTGTTCTTCTGTTAAGCAGCATTAATCTTTCTTACACTTTGCAAAATAAGTAAATTTTTCTGTCCTGGGGTTAGTCCAGAGAGCGGCAGGCTCCTGTGGCATTTCACATACTGGTTAATAGCAAGTAATCTTGTCTTTCCACTCTTTTGAATTTATTTCCTCCTGCTTATGATCAAAACACACTGGCATCACACTAGGGCTGCACACGCTAGAAGGCAATTGTTCTCTCCAGGAGACTCCTACAAGGAGCGTCTGTTTGGGAAGCTGAAGTTAAACTCCAGCTTGGATTTCCTACGCTGTCTTTTTCTGAGAGGCAGCCCAAGGGTCTATTGTAAAGAAGCCGTACTGTTTCTTTTAGCTGAAATTTTCTGACTTTTTGCCATCAAGGATGATTGAACCAGTTCAAATCAAATAAGAATCAACCTGAACCTTTGCCTGAAACCACAACAGCCTTCTTCCTCACCCAAATCCAGAACTAAGGTTTTGTACTTATTTTTATTAATGGACTGGCTTGTGGCCTGTCCTACATGTCCCTTCTGTTGCTATATGGAGCCCTCTTACTCCTGGGCACTGGCTATCCATAGTGCATGTAGCAGCATGAGATGAAGCCTCTTCAAAGACGCTGTTAGTCCTTAGATGAATGGGTGGGAGAATTCCCAGAGCTTTGTGCGTTCCCCCATAAATGCACCAGGGAGAACAGCTGCACCTGTATGCATGTGCACACACACTGCACCAGCTACACAGCTGGGACAAGCTATATCCCTTTCCTGCAGCAGAGGAAGATTAAGAGAAAGATTGTGACTCAAAGTTGCAAAATGCTTCCCTGAAGTAGCTCAGCAATGCACTGTCCTATAAACGGGTCTTACAGCAAAGCCTCCACGATGTCCAAATGAAGGACTGGAAATGTTAGACTTGCAATGTGTTTCACTGCACATTGCACAACTTAAGAGCATGACACATTTTTATCTGAACTGATCCGATTGTATATATGTGTGTGTATAGATATAGATACATGTGTGTATAGGGGTGTGTGTGTGTGTGTATGTATATGTGTATAGATGTGCGTGTGTATTTAAAAACAACCCTTTGATATTATAATCTTTGCTTCTGCAACTTTCCTATGTTAATTCATTTTCCCTTCCTTCCTCTGAGGGTTAAATGCTCGTCCGATTGGCAGACAGTCTAACCTCACCAATACGATCAAGTTTCAGAAACAAAAATCCGACCAGAAGAAGAGAGCCAGAAATGGACATTGCTTTACTTTATTAATTCATTACAAAGTTAATAAGGGCAAGTCTCCCTGATGGACAGGCTCTGTTTAGTCTTTTAGCGCATTAAGAAAGGAAGCATAATGGTGAGTACGTTAGGAGGGGAAATGCTTCCAAAAGCCAGGGTAATGAAATCTGCAAGCAATACTTAAAGCATTAGATCTAATTTTGAGATGGTTCCAACTTGAAGCGTTAAAACAGTTGCATAAATCACAGGGCAGAATCTGTGAATTTTCCCAAGAAAAGTTAATGCTGCTCCTGACTTCCCTGTCCCTCATTCCCTTCTGAATGATGCTGAAGCTATATGGGTAAAGTCTTTTTCTCACAGCAGGTTTTATATGCTCTACTATCACCAAAATGCCCCGTGCACCAGTTCTAGTAAATATCATCAAATCAGGATATTTTCCTAAAACTTACCCAAAGTAATTGAATATTTTTAAATTGCTAAAACTGAGCTCTAAACCACAAGAGAGACAACGTTTCTCACTATTGTTGACTTGCACGAAAAAAAATTCCAAGTCTTTCAATATTTAACAAGGTTTTTCTTTTTTCTTTTTTAAATCGATATGAATTTTAAAAAGATATAAAGTACTTGTTTTTTTCATATCTGCTGCACAGCGCAGTCTCAACTGATATTCTCATTCTCACCTTTGCTTACTGTACTGAAGGAAATGCCACTGCCACCTGATCATCTCATTGGCTGCTATTCAGCAGCCCTCATTAGACTATATTGAAAAGCACTTGTTCTGTCTAGTCTCCACATAGGCCTGATTCAAAGCTCACAAGTCACTAGAAAGATTCCCACTGTTTTCCATGGACCAAGCTCCAAAACGTTTGCCACAACTTCAGCAGCTTGCGACACACTTTAATTCATTTCTGGTTTAGCAGTGCCTGTCACTAACGGAAAAGATGTACCAGTCTACACATCTTTTCTCCAAACTATCCAACATGCCTGAGTGATTTCTGCAAGAAAAAGTTAGTTTGGGGGCAATCTACATGCATTGTATCATTCTTAATTCATGTAGCTGTAGCACTTACTAAAAAATGCTTTATAACACCCCGACCTGCACTGACCAAGGACATGACAATAACATTTTGCTACAAAGAACTGTATTTAAACAAGCTTCTG